ACATACATATATATTCTTAACTCTTTTTATACACTAACACTTCACTAATTAATTTCGTATTAAATAATGCAAAACTAATTTTAATTCGATTTTGGTTAATTGGCGACTGCATATCGTACGACTTCTTTAATCTGCCGCTGGAGAAAATAATTCGAGCTGCACAACTTAATCGAGCATGTACAATCTAGTTTAAGTATGTCGATGATATTAATATCATTGGCTTCAATACCCACGGCGTTAGTTCTGCTTTTCCCAGACTGTATAAGGCAGCAAAGCAAATTAATCAGGCAGTGAACGAGGCAGTGAAAGGCGAAATAGCTCCTGTCATCAAATAAACAGTCACTGTTGACTCTTTTAACTTCGAAGTTGTAGATAATTTCGTCTATCTTGGAACCAGCATTAACAATAACAACAATGCCAGCCCAGAAATCGAAGGCAGAATAACTCTTGCCAATCGGTGCTTCTTTGGACTGAATATGCAATTGAGAAGTTAAATCCTCTCTCGACGAACAAAAACCAAACTCTATAAGTCATTCATAATTCCCGTCCATCTGATGAGTCGACGTTGCGAGTTTTCGAGAGAAAAGTTCTGCGAAAGATTTTTGGTCCTTTGCGCGTTGGCCACGGCGAATATCGCATTCGATGGAACGATGAGCTCTATGAGATATACGACGACATTGACATAGTTCAGCGAATTAAAAGACAGCGGCTACGCTGGCTAGGTCAGTTGTCCGAATGGACGAAAACACTATAGCTCTGAAAGTATTCGACGCTGTAGAGCACCTGGCTTCGCTTGTAATTTCCAATTGGCGGCACATTGCGAAAACAAGAAAAGACTGGCACGCTGTTGTTAACTCGGCTATAATCGCGGAAGCGGAGTCTGCCCCAGTAAAGCAGAAAAATTGGCTCAGATTTTCTGAATTGTGCAGGTTTAACGCTATACGTAAAGATCGCGAGTGAGATAATGGTGGAGGCCTATCGCTGGCGACATCGACCTCGAATGTCAGGGTAAAGCTATCCGCTCAGGCGAAGTCAAGCTCGAAATAATCAATTACAGTTACATATTTCCATTTAAAAATCACCCAAACATTGGTACGCTACTTCGTGGTAGCGTTTGGTACTAAACGATTTTAACCCTCATCACGGTCTTTAGCATTCCTGCCTGTCAAATGATCGTATGAGGGATGGAGCTGACCAAACAGATAGACGATTCGATATTCTCCGCAATGAATGACGAAGCCACCAACAGAAACCAGGGTACCTGTAAAAGCTCGCCCGTTATTAGCATCGCTAGTGGTGGTCTGAAAAATATAATAACCTCGCGACTTATTCTACCTCTCGCATCAGACCATCTGCCCATAATTATCTCGATCGAGAAATTCGGCTTCACAGAATTTACCAAGGACACTTTCACCGCGGTCGTAATCGTCGGCGAACGACAACTCCGCAAGATGATCGCAGCTGCTACCGCTCGCTTCATCTTTACTGGTAGCTAAATCTAATTTTCCAGCCAAAGCACCTGTTTTAACTGATAAACGCGATTCCTATGATCCCCCCCATAAAGGATCTCAATTTGGAGAAGAAACCATCTCTGCTGTCAACTGTTTGAAGCGGAACCGCCTCCTAAGAGCATCAAGAGTAGATAAAATCATTTGTAAGAAAGCTCTAAATAAGCTCGAATTCGACTGCTATACTATAATTTACCTATATTATCAATTATCAATAAAATTCTATGTTTGAATATTAACGAACTTTCTAATAAAGCTGACTAAACCTGTAATGGGTAATGGACACACAACCACTGTAGAATACACTTATTCACATTATCTTTATTACGAATAATCAAATTGAAATTTATAACAAACTAAAATAAAAATTTAGCGCGCCTTCCAGCCTTTAAAAATAAAAGTTAAAGCATTCCGCAGCCACAAAACTTTTGAATATATGTAGCTGATGTTTTGAATAAGGTACAAAGTAAATTGGTACAAATGTCAAATTTTAAATATCTGTGTTAATATGTATGTACATACATCCGTACACATGCGTGTATGTATATATGTACGTAGGAAATATACAATTCTGAGTTATGTAATATGGTCAATTTGAAAATTTTTATCATAACGATTGTAGACCACAATTGCGAACTTTAAATGCACTTGTTCTGAGGAAAATAGCGTTCAATAATAAAATTTATTTCACAGCGGTATTATTTATACGTACTTTTCGAGAAACACTAAACCTATGCGGCAAGCAATTCTTGAGGATTGTCGCGCTACGATTTCTCAAGAATATGGAAGACATGTTTAAAAAAAATCAACAAATTGTAAAGCACCCACAAATTACATACAATTCACATACACTTTACACTTAAAATTAATAGTCTTGAGAAAAACGTGCGTAACACAACACGAAAATAAAAACAACTGCTGGCCAGTTTTTATCAATATATGCCAAATTCTTTTATTACTTTTCCCAATGCGCGAACTGTCAAATGTGTTTTCAAGATCTTTGATCCTCAATTCTGTTACATTTTGTTCTGCAAAGATTTTATGAATAGTGTGCACAAGTGATTTTACAGAAATTTTATTGAAACTGATAATTAATGTTATGGGTTTTAATAGTGGTTTGATTACATCTCAAAAAGAATACATATCATGCTTTTGAACTTTTTATAAGTCATTTTTTCAAAAATGTTGGGTAAAAGCTCTATAATAAAATATTCTATTACAATAATTATTATATTACAGTTGGCGAAATGACGACTCTGTCCCTAAACCAGAGAACGTAAATGTACGTAAATGTACGTTCCCTGAAGAAACACAAATAAAAAGTGTTTAATAAAAACGTAAATATTCGCACGTGTGACTGAAAAAATGGTAAATAATTTATATTGTTTGCAATAATTTTAATAAATCTACAATAATAATATCTTTGTAGACTAACCTACGAAAAGAACTAGAAAAATGTAAACATCCAAATAGTCGGAAAACAAAAGCTTTAGGCAAGAAAGCAAGACGCCAAAATAACAAACACAAAGCGCGTATGGGTCATGCAATTAAAAGTAACATAATGGGCGAGAAGTTAAGTTGGTTTTTGGGTCAAATCGATGAGGTCCGAACGGAGCCACTAACACCACAGGAATTTGAAGACCTCATAGCTTCATACCTCAAGCGTTTTGATGAAGAACTTGAACAGATTGCGCTTAAACAATCGATCAGCAAGAACCGCTCTAAGCAACATGCAGCTCGGCAGGATGTTATCAAAATTACTTTGGAAAGGGAGCGAAACGAGTACCAAAGTGGAGGCATGGGTAATTTCACAAATTATTGTTATTCGTAATACATACATTTTTTCTCTCCCGTAGAGCTACTAAACCTCTGCGATCCTGTGAAATTTAAATCGCTAATGGATTGGGATGGTAGTGCGCTCAATGTTCAACATTTGAAGTTAGATCTTGTTTCACATAAAATGTTGCAGCGTCTGAAAAGCACAAACACTATAAATAGCAATGAGAATAATACTGCTAATGAAACAGCTGTTGTAGGGAGCATATCTAATACGGAAGCCATGGAATTGGCTTAAATAAATGTATTATACTAAAATGTATATTTTCTTTTATAAAAAATATTACAGTTTACAGCTTTGTATACATTATTTAGTTTGTGTCAACTAATCGCCTCTAATAACCGGTTCACCATCGAGTTTTTTTAGTAGCGGTAAACGACGTATAGCTTCATTTTTAAAAACCAGTTCATCCATATTCTCGTTGATTATATTGCCAAGAAAGGAAATTTCCTCCAGCTTCGGCGCCAATGCCATACGATTGAACTCAATCCAATCTTTAATAAGATTGTGTGATACATAAAACACGCGCAATACTTTCATGGATTCAATTGGTTTAATTTTCTCAATAATATTGTAACTGACCCATAACTCTTCCAATGTTTCTCCAAGTGCCTCCTTTCAATATTAGAAGAACATGCCTCATAAGATATGTTGCATTGAATAAGGTTCGGACTCATAACTTACAATGCCATTGATATTTTTTAAATTGTTCCTTGCCAACGAGAGTATACGGAGATTTTTAAGCTGATTGATACCCGTTATTTTTTCAATCATATTAGAAGACAGACTAAGTTTCCGGCAGTTAACAAGCGTATTAAGTGTGCTATCCATTTTTTCAATTGGAGGAAATTGAAACTGTAAACCGATGTCTGTCACTGTTATGGGATCCTTGCCATTTTTTTCTTCCCAAATGCGTAGTGCATCCTTAATGGTAGTAGGTTTGGCCATTGAGTAAATATAAGATTTATTTTATATTTTCAAATATTTAGTTTCAAATAATTTTCAATGACAATTTCAAAATTTTGTGCCAAAATTATAGTTTGGGGTACAAGTTTTAAAAAAAACTTAGTTTACCAGTATTTTCATTGTTTGAAAAAACAAAGGGCGTATAAGTATAAATCTTACATTAAATATCTTACAATTGAAGATCTTGAGTTGAAGCCTCTCCAAATACACTTTAATTATTTGATTCTGCTAAATTGAAATTCATTTAAAAATTATGAAATGGCATGGAAAATCCTTCTTGGAAGGATTAACAGCACAATAAATTAAAACAAATTATGTTATATATTATGTGAAACGCGCCAAAGTATGTTTTCCAACATTAGTTGGGAAACCAAAAGTTAAATGGTATTGGGTTCTAACACATATTCCAACTGATCTCATTTTACAATTGTTATTTTTTCAATAACATAATAATAAAATAAATCTGCTGCTTTCAACTTTAATGCTTTAAATATTGATTTCTTTACATATTTCGAGATATTATATAAACATGTTTGAACAATGATACATATACCATTTGAATTTTAAACCAAAATTAAAATAATATAAGCATACCCTAATATGTTCAGCAATTTGCGACATCTGTGGGAAACTATGCATTGTTGCATTGAAAAAAGTTCTAGTTCACAGTAAAATATAATATTCTGAAATATTTTAAGTAGCTGGTGAAATATTCTGAGTGAGTTTCTATAAAAAATATAGCATTTGCAAATCAAGTTCTATTAATATTAATAAAATGGGAAACGCACCAGTCAAAGAAGTAGCGCAGGCAGCTGCTGTAAAGGTCGTTGGAACAACAGAGCAGCCGGCTGAGAAACCTAAGCTTAAGCCATGCTGTGCTTGCCCAGAAACCAAGAAAGTTCGCGATGCATGGTTAGTTAAATATTTTATCGCCATGAACGTTATTTAGCAATGCATTTATTGTTTTTTTTTAGCATTGTTGAGCGGGGTGAGGAGAATTGCACTGATTTGATAGAAGCGCATAAACAATGTATGCGAGCTCAAGGATTCAATATATAAGCAAAACAGCCAAGCTTTTGATTCGTTTAAATATAAAACAATTGTTAGTAATTTATTTTTGCTGTCTGAATAAGTATTCTGGAAATGTCAGCAAAAGTTTACTTGAATTAGGTGATTGTCGCTATTAAAATACTTTTTATTTGTTACTAGTCTTGTTGCGTAATCTGTACAACTAATATAAGGAAATTAGCACTATGAGTGCGAAATTAATTAATTAAATAACATATAGGGGGTAAAACAGTTTTTATTTCTTAAAAAATCTGTTAAACTAAAGCAAAAGTAAACACATCATATATTAGATATATGCCAATACATCCAATGCCACAGCACAGGCCATATACATTGTGATCGCAAACGCTACCCCAAAGGCAATAATACGCGACGGTTGAGGTACAGGATAGAACGCATATACTAATGTGTGCAATATGCGCGCAATGGCCGCAACACGGAAGAGTATGCAGGCAACTGTGGGATTCGGATTTGTGCAAATATATAGCAATGCCATCGTGAAGTAGGGTAGAATATTCTCCATGTCATTGCGATGTGCGCTGTCAAACAGTAAGGAAAGTTATAAATGTGAGATGCTTGGTACAAAATAGTAATATTACTTACCGACGCACGCGCTCCACATGTGGATCATTATATTGCACTTCAATATCCTTGAAAAACAAGTCTTCTTGATTAGGGAATACCTAAAACGAGAGTCAAATGGAGGTAGATAAAGATTTGTTCTCAAAAGCTGACTTGCAATACTATTGCCAATCAAGTCTGAATTTTGTGGTATAGTTTCCAATCCATGTATCTATGTTGCGCATGCATACATACATACATATGTACATAACCAGCGATATGAGTTTGCTTTCTTTACATGCGAAAATTAAATGAATGATTTTACCTTCCTCAGACAGCTTTGAGGAAATAAACCCAGAATCTGTAAAAATTATGTCGGATATTATATTGAATGAATTTTTATGCTAAAATTTGATGTTTGCATACGTGCATTCACAGTGTTTGCAAAATTCTATAGATAACTCTTATGGTGGTTTTAAATAAATTCTGATTAATTGGATTGAACGCGCAATTAATTTTAATATTCTTCGCGTTTTGCGTCTTAATATTTATGTAGGTATGTATGCAGTTTACACAACTGGTTTAAAGTTGTGCAAAGTTCAGTAGATATTTTCAAACGTAAATTTAATTTTTTTTAGCATAAATGTCCAAAATCAAAACAAGAGTTAATAGCACATTTTAGCTAGCAAACAATTTGGAACTTGCATACCTTATTGCGGAATCGTTGTAGCGCTGTCAGCAATGACATCAGTAACATTTTGATTACCAGCACACTCGCCCAAAAAAGAAAGCAGCAGAAGACAGGATTATCAAGCGTTAAATAATTTCTTGTGAAGTTCTCATTCATGGCTGTACTAGGATTTGGTGCATTAAATGTTGCTAATGGTGGCGCTGCACTTGTTGTAGCCATTTTCAATAGTCTTGCTCTGCTTACAAAATTTTAGTTATAAATAGTAGATTTAGCGACTGGATAACTGCAAAGCTACGCTGTAACTGCGCGAATTGTTTGTTTACGCTAAGCCGCAAAGTCTGAGAACGTAGATTGACCATATGCGTACATACATATCTACATACGTAGAACTCGTTTACCTTGGAAAAAATTATAGACTGCAAAGTTATCTTCTTAATTTCTACCAAATATTCTTACATATATATATATATATAATATAGTATCTTAATCTACATTTATTAGTGAATATTTGAATTTGAAACTGGTTGTGCTTTGGTGCTTCTTAACATGTTTTGCATGCAAAAAGCAAATATTTTAGTTCTACTAACGTCCATTCGTAGATATAATTATATAACCCTATATCTTCCTCTATCAATTCTAATTTATTTTCCTTGGGGCTTTAAAGTGGGGAATGAGTGTGGAACTGAAAACTAAAAATATGCATCATTTAAACGAATTATTTTAATAATATTACCATATGTACATATGTTATTTAAGGGATTTTTATTTAAATTAGTTCTTATATTTTAAACTTTTAAAGATCAAATAATAAAAATAGCTTAAATCAAATATTAAAACAATGAAAATTAAAATAACAAAGCTGAAGCTATAATACCGTTTACAAATACAAAAGATTCAATACAAAAACTTGATTTTGATTGGTTAATTCGTATGAACATTTTTTTGCAGACTGTACCATTTTCTCTGGCAATAATTCGGGGCAAATTTTGTGAAGATATATTGTCAAATTAAAAGGTTTTCCAGACAAAAAAATTAAGGGCAGATACATATGTATGTGCTCTAGTGGTCCGATATTGATACTTCCGACGAATTATATCTTCTTTGGGGGAGGGGGAAAAAGGTTATATGTAAAATTTGAGATCAGTTTCTCATACACAGGGACAAGTTCGCGAATATACAGACAGACCGACAAGGCTAAATCGACTCCGCCATTTTGCTGATCATTTATATACATATACTATATTTTTATACGGTCTTTGACGTTTATTTCTTTGTGTCATTAACTTTATGGCAAACTAAATATAATTTGTTCAGGACTTAAAAGTTAAAAAAAAAACGCTTAAATCTACTATTACATTTAAAATTAAATTTTAAGAATTATGTACATGGTTTAATATCTCCATTTTCAACCTATCCTGCATTTCCTCCGTTTTCTTTTGCAGAAGTTCGTCCAACATGGCTAAAAACGCCTTGTTTTTGGACTCCTTCTGCGTGGAGAACACCGTCTCCATTGTCTCATAAAAACGCGCAAGTCGTTCGAATGCCTCGTTGTTCGTATGTTGTTCCTCGTCAATCCGTTGACGTTTCGACGGATCTTTCGGCTTTGGTGTATCTCTGCAGGTTTGGCTATCATTTTGCGCACTTTCTTCCTGCAGTAATTCTACCCACTCAAAATTGTTCTGCGTTGTTGCAGGCGAATCACTGCAGCTGTGTTGGTCATCGTTGCCAAATTGCGTTTTAGATCTAAAAACAATTAATTTCTATTATCAAATTCAAATTGAATTAGAAAGGTATTTGCAACTTACTTTCTGGGGTTAACATGTTTTGTTAAGAAACCCATTAATTTGAGATAACACCACTCTTTCTTTTCCTCTGCTTCGCCCTCCTCCTCCGACTTCGATTTTTGCGCCACTATCTCACGCACAAATCTATCGCGTAACGACTTCCAGCGCTGCTTGCATTGTTCCACTATTGACGAAAACAATTTAATTGCATGTAAATAAAATAATAAATACTAACCAGAGGCTCCCGTTGAAATCGCCACTGCCTTCCATTGTCGCTCCTTCAACAACAAATTTCGAAATAAAGGCGAGCTTCTGTCGTACAAGCATGGGTGTAACCTGACGGCCTTAATTAATTTCCTTTCCATGTTTTATCTATTTTCATATATATAATATTAAAAACTGTTGTGCTTAATGCTTATTGTTAGTGTATTTCACTTACCCTAATGTTGTTGTACTGCGGTAAAAAGTAAATACTTAACAATTAAAATAGCAATAGCTGCTTCCAAGGTTCTTCTTCGCTTTGCTTTGCTTCGCTCGAAATCTTTTTATGTGCACAAAAGCATACATCGAAATCAGCTGTCAAAGTAAAAGTCAGAAACAAAGTGAATGCAAACTTGTTTGTTAGCCGTATTTTGCGGCGAAGCAAAGCAAAGGGAAGAAAAATGTTGTGCAACTGTCATTAACAACTTTGACATACAGCTGTCACCATTTTTCTTATGACTGATTTACACAGAACTTTCCTTGCTTTGCTTGACATTGAATATTTTGAACCCGTAGAGAAGCAAAAATAGGGTAAGTAAAAGGCAAAGTTTTGCTTTCCGTGCTTCACTCTGATACTTAATATTTGGAATTTTGACATTTGCGTCTTAACATATTCGGCAAACTCAATTCACATACGATCAAATAGAAATTTAATATACATATGTATGTATGTATTTAAAGATATATCATAACAAGTAAGAAGAGATTTTCAATTTTGGCACTACGACATATCATTACTCGAATAAGATGCTTTATGAGTTTCCTTAAGACAACTCACATATTGACCAATATAAGCAGTATAAAATCAACCGTAAGTTCGAAAGTATTAATATTTGATATATGGAGGCTAGGGTACGAATTGTTTCTATTTTACCCATTTTTAGCACCAATGCATTCTATTAACTTAAAAAGTTTCCCACCTAAACCAAGTGTTCACATATTTGGTATCTGAGATCTTCAAATATTATATTCCATCGAGACAATGTTATGTACTAAATTTGTTTGAAAGTAGTTACTCAGATATGGAATTTATGGACATAAATGTGGACGGAGGATGTGTTCAAAAAACCTGTACTGAGCAATTTTTACTCATCCAACCACAGTCTGAAGCTAAGCGATGTCAAATTTTATGTTAAAGCGGCTAAATTAAAATCAAATCAACTCGAGCAGTTCCCGAATGTTTGATATAGAAGATATATTATTTTTTATCAGCCCAGGGGAAGCTGGGACGTTTCCACATCTTATTCTCTTAGATAAGAAAAAAAAAATAAATAAAATAGCTTCTAACGGCTCATACATCTTCTATATAGTTAAAGATACGGTCATTTTATTATAGAAGACAGTGTTGCTGAGAGTCTCTTCGCAAAATACCAATCACTTACTGTTTACCTTAAGGTACTTTTTTCACTAGCCTTTTTTGAGAGATCGCGTGAGATTCACTGATATTGTTTTCAGTATTATTTGGCCTTTCATAAAGCAAACACTTATGTACGTCTGAACAACATCAAGAGCTACCATTTCATCCAGAAAAAACAACGATTTTCTGTGGTTGGTAGATCGGTGGAATCATGTTTCATATCTCTTCAAAAATGCTGACGGTGAGAATGTAACCGTCAATGGCGACGGTTATCGCGCGATGATAACCGATTATTTGATGCCTGAAATTGACTCGTGATATCGGCGACATTTGGTTTCAACAAGAAACCTACAACACATCACATAAATCAATGCGTTTATTGAGAGAACACTTCGGTGGATAGATAATTTCACAATTATGACCAACAAGATCGACGAATGGACCATCTGAGAAGTGTAGCTTAAAAGAGATAATCTTCAAATAATAATTATTTAAGAATGTTCTTTCGAATGATAATAACATTACCTATTCAATTTGAAGTTTCTGTGTTCTTTCTTTAAAAAAGTAGTGAACCTCGAAATATGGATCACCCTCTAGGAAACAATCAAGTGTTGGTTTTTAGCCCCGAAAATCTGGATAGATTTTATATGATCCTCCAAGGATAAGTGACGGTCACCGCCAAGGAGCTTCGATTGGAACATATGTTTCTCTTAATTTTTTTTCTCTTGCAAAAAAATTATATAATATAATAAATTAATTTATAAATATTGTATATATTTGTAATTAGTTTATTCATGTGATCTTAATAATGTCAATAAAAAGTTTACTATTTCTCATTAGGTTCAGCCTTGCGGTTTCGTGCTCGCAGTTCATATCAACACCCACAGACTAACACGCTTCTCACCAGAGAACTTAAAACATATGTTCTCTGCTTCTCATATTGTATATAATTAAGTACATATGTATGTATGGTCATTAATTTGTATACCTTAATCAAAACGTAATATATGTATATATGTATAAGTAACTGAAATTAATCATGAAAAAAGAACTGTCATCTCCATACCATTTTTGTCCAATTTTTTTTTTCAATATAAGTTATACTCTTTAGTCATTTCTCTTTAAATTGCCGCACTCTTTAGATTTCACTCATATATTAGGCTCTTCGTGCTGCCACTCTTAAATATATTTGTTTTCCTAATAAATTCGTCATGAAATGGTTGTGCGGCTGGCAAATAAAATAAAAACACACCGTGGACTTTGATCTCTCTACGTGTAGCTTCGCATATTCGTCGAATAAAGCGAATACCTCTACACATGTAGCCAGACTTAAAAGCAAAAACACAATACCACATGCCGACACACAGCATATAATGAAATAAACAAGCAAAAGACACAAATATACTTACTAATTCGCATGACCATAAAAACTTACTTATTGTTATTTATTTCGAATGTACATACATATGTATGTATATTGCCGGCGAGAACACTCTTTTAGGAATTTGGCTGGCGACTTTTTTTTGTGAAATGAAACGAGTATGTATGAGTATGCTCACCAGATACACCAAGCACATTTATAAATGCTTGAAAACAACTTTTCCAAAATAATGTTGAAATAATACGCATTGTTAAAGCCCAACTTCTCATTAGTCTAGAAGCAGAGTTCGAAAAACGATTACCGTTACGATGTACCGGTATGAAATTTTTTTTTTGTGGAAATAAAATACTAATACAAAGTATTAACCAATGCTTTTTGCACATTTTGACCACTTTTCTACCATGTAAATGCTCGTCTTTTGCAGCAAACCAATCCGACACCGCATTTTTGGCATTTTGCGTAAGGATCAAAGTGCTGCTCAGCCAAAGTGTGCCCCGTATAGATGAAAACAAATGGTAAGGAGCCAAATTTAAACAAAAAACGAATGCTTTTCGCAAATCATCACTTTTCGGTAAAAAATTTGACATTTTCAAAACAATGAAAAAATACGATGTTGTTTCTTCAATGACCATGAGGTATGTTTGCCAACCAAAGAGAAAAAAATTAAAACTTGTTCCCAACAAATGTTCCCTACCAACTAATTCGGCTCACTTTAGACGGTGCACTTGGTAGTTTGTCTGAGTATCTAGCTGGTTACACTGTAAAAGTGCTCCATATAGTGCTTTTCTTAAACATAAGCAATTTTTGTGGAGACATCCGCTTCGGGGTAAATTTTTAAGAATAACATGGGGATTTAAACTGTAAAAACCCGAGCCATTTTTGTGTGATGTATTAGTCACTTTTATAGGTTATATTTCCAAGAATACCAGATGTTCTAAAAAAGTTGTACATTATTTCACGCTGTAAT